ATATTATTTGAAATAAAATAAAAAATTAAAGCTTTAATGACCATTTGGTTTTCCCCAAAGAACAAAGATGTCATACGATAAAATGTATACAATTTTAATACAAATACATAGTCACCTATATCGGCTATATCATCATTGATTGTGTATTTATTTTAATCCATCAGTATACCTAACTACTTAAAATATTAAAAATCAATGGTCTTTAATTTTTGATATAAAATAAAAACTTTTAGCCGTATCTCATTTTTTTGTATTTTCAATTAGCTATACTATAAAGTGTGAAATTGATGACCGACATCCGTGTGACATCATATTATGTACAAAGGTACCTATATGCATTATTTTTTTTATAATTTGACTACGATGTTAAAAAATGAATGAAAAAATATTACCGGATATTAGACTAATTTTTACAGACGAAATTTTTTGAGGTTCCGCTATTTATCATACTTTTTTACCTTTTTAATGTAGTTTCCCGTCCAAGATTCCCCTGTTAACCTTACCTACCTGTTAGGTACTCACATATTATATATATTATATACATATTAATATATGATGACAACTAGAGGTATGGTTAAATTATACAACATATAGTTAAATAGTCGACTATAATATATAAATCCTTTTATAGTGATGGCGTATTGTCATAAAAATCCCATTATATAACAAAATATAAGTATACTAGATGACAACCTACTAACAACCTATTTCCAATAGATATTAAAAATTCCATACAAATATAGTACTAAGAACTGGAAAATTCAAGTATGTGCATAATATTTTCATATGTACTTATAGTATCAGTTTTATAATTTATATACAACTATTRCTCAGATTTTAAACCTAAAAATTCAAATATAAATACAAAAATTAGGAAAATGCATCTAAATTAGTAAAAATTGACCTTTTCACCAATACATACCGAAAAATGGAAAGTTAAATTTGTTCTATTGAATTCTATATGTGATATAAATCAGATGCTTATAAAAACAAGCATTAGATTAAGCACTAGAAAAAGATGCAAATGAAAATCACATTYTTTTGATAAAATAATAATCGTAACAGTTTTATAATCGAATGAATATAAAATAATTTCAAACAGTTTAAACTTCATAAGTATTGACAAAACCTACTAGGTACCTAAAATTTATTAAAAATACTAAATTATTAAATTAAATTCATAAATTAAGAGAACAAAAGAAAAAATTAGTCTATAATATTATTAGATATTTTAATATGAATAGAAAATAAAATAACGATTGTGCATTGTTACTTAAATTTATTGTGTTTTTGTTGATACGAAAAGAAAGTTTATGGAATCCAATTTGTTTAGTCACATTAAAGGTTTTATATACAGCCCCTTTTTGTATATATATATATATTATATAGTGCCCACTGCCCTTCTAAATACCTCTAGATATAAGACAATTTTGGAGTGAAAAAAAAATTAAAACACCGTCACTTTCGTTTTAATTTGGTCCTCACACGTACAATTGGTGAAAACGAATCGATAATTTGGTGTAAACTGAGCGAAAGACGTCCGAATTTCCCTTTCATGAGTAGAATGGTAAATATAATTGACAATATAATATAAAATAGGAACGATTCAACGATGACAATATCAGACATTCATCATATTATTTTATACAGTGCCACAGTGGTCACCCACACTAACGTAACACTGTTTTCATATACATGTTATATACACATATTATTATAAACAATGTATAGTGTTGTATTTGTAAGCAGCTTAGCTGCGTATTGTCCTGCATTGTCCACGTGACCACGTACGTCGAACATAGTGACAACATTTCGATTTCGATTTTATCTATATGCGAATTTATGAATGCAAATATATTATATATATGTACAGGCGTACAGCCATATTATAGGCATCGTGATATTATATCAGTGTGTGTGTGTGTGTGTGTGTGCTTGTTTATGCTTACACACACGTTTATATATTACACCTGAGTAGAATTTAAATAGAAAAAGTATGTGTGTATAGAAAAGGTTAGAGAAATTAAAATCAAAATGAATTTCACAAAAATACACTGTTATACCTACATGTATACTATAGTAGCTGTTCCTACTGCAACAGAGCTGAGTCACAGTATCATAGTTTAAACTGTAATTAGTTTAGAGGAATTTAAAATTTCACAATCGATTTTCTGCGATTTACTGGTATACCACAACGAATTTTTGATGACAATTTCATAGAAAATTATCCTGGTGAACGGATCAAAATATCAGATGACTATTGTAGCGGTTCAGCGGTCCAGAACCGCCGAGTCCGAGCGCAAACTATATTATATATAAATATAATATATAGRTATCTAAATCTAACCATAATAATATATTATTCTAAAGAGCTCTTTCGTCCGTCGAAATTGAGCCACCACAGGAACAATCAAAACAGCCGACGCTGCAGGTGCCGTCGGATGATAAAAATATCTATCGTCGGAAAACGATTAATCAATATCTACATTAAACATAAAATTTATTATACTAAAAGGATAACCGACGAATACATATTATGTTATTCRTAAGTGTAATCTGGGGTCATCAACGTGTCCATTTTTTTTTAGTTATCTTCAATTTATTGTTTATCAACAAGGCAACAACAATAAGAATTAGTAAACGTTGTGCAGAAGTAAAAACCGTGTTTTGTATTATACCATGCTTTATGGCCACTATTTATTGAATAATAGAATATATTAGATTTTATTAAATTATGTGTATTTCGTACACAGTATAGACTATAAGTAAATATATCATATATCTTGACTTTGAAAAATTTTGAACAGTATAGGTATAGGTACTATAGGTACTATGATATATTGGAGGTAATAATATAATCATACTATATAACATTATACTATTACTATATATTATATTATTATGTTAATAATCGGCTATTGTATTTTATTCATACGCACAAATACTGAAATACACCATGTGTCATATTATACAGYTTATACATATATTATAAAAGCATCTAAAATAATAAGATAGGTACCTATACGCCATAAGTATTAATATTTATTAAACGGTATAAGTAATAATTTTTTTTTTTTGATAAATTTAAAGGTATGGTTTACGTTTTATTATAAACAGGCAATGATAAATATTATTATTCCTAACTTATTATATTGCCTATTGGTATCAAACTGTGTACAATTATGTATTCYCATTATATAAATTATAATGTAATCGTCTATATATTATAATATCATACATCTGTACTGACTGTACTTCATATTAATAATACTATCATAATTTTATTTTTGTAAGTTTAGTATACCTAATTATTATAGGTATTTATATACTATTTAATTATACATTTTGTTATATACTTTTCTCATAATTTCAAAACTTAACACTTAACACATTCTATCATTGTAC